ACTAAGAATATGCCTTTTATTCTAAAATATTTCTATATTTTTAATTCATGTTTCTGACAGCTCATGGAATCCAATAGGAAAACAGAAATGGCTTTTACCAAAAGGGAAAGCTCTGTTCCAGGAGGTATTAGTCATTTTCTAAATATTGCTACATATTTCTTCATGATCTTTAAACAAGCTACATGGACTTCTGAGAGTCTTATACAATCTTAAAATTTCTTCTTCAGTCTGCTTAAATTCAGATAAAATAGGACGAGAATAAGAAATTTTTATTGTCAATGCTGCTTGTATCATAGTCAGCTACTTGCAGCTATGACAAGCACCTTTTCATCTGTTTAGTAAACAAGAAGTCTTAAACTGAGGCTGTTCATACCCTGATGTGTAACACTAATGACAGGACAACATCTTGCACTGGAGGCTTGTGGAATCTGGAAACTTTAAGAAAAAATGAAGCCTGTAGTGCTGAAGAACTCACAACAAATTTAGACTGTGCACTAGTAATAAATATAAAAATATAAACATATTTTATATAAAAATATGAAAATAAATGTATTTTGGTGCTAGAACTACTGTGACTGTGTTACTGTCATACTAGGCTACATCTACAAAGGGACTTGCACAACAAGCACCGATGTTGTGGTTTTACTATGTTGCTCAGAAGCCTTGCTGGACTGCCACCTACATCTATAGGCAACTGAAGACCCTCAATTCCCTGTCCAATGATATCCATAATATAGGTCCTGATGTTATCACACTGCTTTGTGCCTATGCCCTGGTAAGGCTGTTAAATGACTTGTCTCACCAGGGACTTCCAGTATGGTCAACTCTCTTAAATGTTTGAACAGCATCACACAAAATGTTTTTATCTGGTATCTTTATCCAGTATCTCCCAGGACAGAGACTCTGAGAACTGAATCCTCACCTCTAACCTCAGCCTCCTTTGAGACGAGTACTCTATGACTATATTGAGAGTGGCTGGGACTTTTCTGTAGGCTTTCTTGTTGTTCAGTTTTTCTTTGTCAGGTTTTGGGTAGCAGTGTGTGAAAGAGGTGTCTCAGGCTCTTATATAAGAGAATTCTTGTGCCAGAGAAATAATTATGTCTTCTTGAGGAAGCTGTTTAGGTCCTACATTTCTCTGTCCTCAGTACTTTGAAAGAGCTTGACTATTTCATGTGAACCCCTGGTCATCATGCAAGTTTCCGTGACACCTCACTTTCCCCATGCATTGAAAAAGAAGAAAATACAGCTTGTCTGCAGAGCTCTCAGAAGTTAGGTACTGCAGTACTTTAATTCTTATCCTCGATCCCTATCAATCTCCCTCATGACCTGGGAAAGAAGGAGATCATGCTGCATTTATATCCAGAACAGAATCTGAATTTCAATACATTAATATACTATAATTACAGCTAGGTACGTAGAGATACTGATTGAAGGTATCCATTTCTGATGGCCTCATATCCACACATAGAAGTGAAAAGTCATAGCTGTGCAGAATATGCTTCCTCTTTATCATTGACCAATAGACATTATTTGTAAATAGTAAAACATTTTATTTCAAGCCCTTCTCTAGTTAATGATGGTTTTCAAAGTATTAGATCAAATTCACCCTCTTGAAATGTGATAAAACCAGTGGAGTTTCACTAGGAATGTATTTGATTTGGTAACAACAACAACTTTTGTCTATGTTTCATTCATATCGAAGAATCCAAACTCCTTTATAAAGGATTGAGTTCAGATACTAATGAAACGCAATCACCCCTAAGTGAAATGCAGCAGATTTCCTCTTTAAAAAAAAAAAAAAAAAAAAAAAAATATATATATATATATATAACTGTTCAGCACTGGTAGTGGAAAAGAATCTCTGAGATGAGAGAAATTGTCTACAACAGATTTTTTTTTTTTACTCCTACAAACACAGCAAAACACATTGTGAAGCTTCAGGGTGAACTATAGCCACGGTTTTAGAAAAGAACAAGGCTAAATTAGGCCCTTAACACATAAACAAATGTATGAGAAAACTGACTTACAAAACCACTGATCATTAGGTGTCTCAGCTAGGTTGAGAGCTGCTTGATGAGCCATTTATTTGGGAAGGGACAGGGGACTGTTATTAACAGAGGTATATGCAGGGAAAGAAAAGGCAGTCTCACAATGAAAGGGTTTAAGATGTCAATAAAGCACATGTTTACGACAGTAACATTGAGCAGTTAACCGTGATTCACGGTTTTAAAAGCAGAAGTCATTTAGCTTGCTAATTACAATAACAGCTGCAAAATTGAAGAATTCTTCAACTATTTATGAGGTATGAAGACAAAGCGTGGAGATAAAGCATTAGAACATTTGAGATCTGACCATTAAGGGTTTCCTATTAAAACAATCTCATCCAAGTCCAGCCGAGTCACACCAAAGGGACTTTAAAAACATCCTTAGTCTTTCCTGCTCAGTCCTTGTCTTGTATTATAGTTTTAGATGCTGCTGGTCCTTCAGTTGATTGTTTTAGCACATTGACTGGGTAGGTGTTTGGTGTGTGAAAGGCCTTGACTGGATATTGTGAATTGAATTCTTATGTGCCTGCAGAAAGTTTGATTCAATGAAACAGCAAGTTCTTCACAGGATGGCCAGGCCACAAACCACAGACATCTAAAACAATTCATCTGTGTTATGGCTTCTGACCTCTTCTTTTCTGCACGTACCACAACCACGAGAGAGTGGGCTGTAACCTATGAGACAATTCCTGGCTGTCCATACCCAGGTCTATTTCCTCCTATTTCATTTGCTGAAATTCACTGTTTCTCTTCCATTTTCTCAACAGATGGAATCTGTTTTCAATCAGAATATATTATACTATATAACCTAGTAGATAAACAGCCAGCTCTGTGGTGGGATATATACATCTGGTCATACCCCTACAAATATGCCAGGGATGATTTGAACAGAGTTTATGCTTAACACAACTTTGAAAAATTCCCTGTATCTTTTGGCAGCAAGGGGTTTCTTTCTGAGGAAACTATAGAAGGGTTATTACTCTGTTCTTTTGAGGCACATCCAGATAGAAAAATATAGGAAAGTTACCCTCTGCATAAGGAAGCAACAGTTAAATACACAGTGAAGAAACTTGAAGATGCTTTTACATAAAGCAGTGATCTGAGTCAATCTCACAGGATTACGAGTTATATTAAAAAGCAGTGCAGGGAAATGAAAGCCAAGGCACAATATCCATCAAAGTAGTGTAGCAAAGTATATAAATGGCCCTTTAATAGTTTTCAAGCATTGGATACCACTACAACAGCACTGGCACTAAAAATAATAAAATCCTGTAGTGGTCATTCACTGTCATACGTTGGGCGGTCTCATACTAAGTGGTACTGTGCATGCTGTGCTGTCCTTAGGAGAGCACAATTAACTCTCTGGAGCCTTGTTCTTCTTATTTCCCCTATGAAAAAGATTTCCAGTGGGAGCACGCAATAGAAGCTGCTCCTTCAACTGTCTGGATAGTAGCTGGAAATCGCTCTTCTATGAAATAAGAAAGGGAAAGGAAAGAGGCAGCTGGCACATGCTCCTTCTGTACCTGGGCAAGAACACCTAGAAATCAGGTGTTACTCAATATACCACCTGTCGCCTATTTGCCATCTTAGCATGTTTTTCTTGACTGCAATTAACTCTTGTGCCTCAAGAATAAAGAATATAATGAAATTCACCAAAGGAAACAGTCCTTGTTTTTTCATTTTGCATCCTCATTTGTTAAATTTTTGGGTAGGAGGGGCCCCTCTGCTGGACTTCCTTTTCTGTCCTCTGTCCATCACTTTTTTGCCTACCTGCCAGCCTTTCTACATGAATAAAGTCCACATTAAATATGCAATGGTTAGCGGAGATGTACTGGAGAACTTGCCACTAAATAGTGTCATTTAGTTAATAAAGTTAGACTGCTAATAAAGATAATGATAGAAACAATAGTTTTGGCAAAAAGAGCCAGGAACTGTGGAGGAGAATGTGATTGCTGCTTGGATCATATTCACCTTTTAAAGTGCCATTTTGACGTTCATAAAGCAAGCACTGCTTGGTGGAAAAAGAGTGCTTTCGGAGCTGCATAGATCAGTAATAACTACAGAATCAGGGGATAAAAAAGGCTGTTTAAGATTCTGGGTGTCTCTCATGCCAAACTCTGTGTTATCCAGAGAGTTCAGAAGCACACAGCCGGCGTCTTCTGGAAACGTGTCACCTTCGGTTGCTATTGATCAGTAGCTACCTACTGTTGTGCTGGAGATTCAGCTCACCAGCAACAAAGTGTTGTCGGCACCAAGGGTGTTGCACAACAGTGCACAGAGCTTTTTGATGACTAAAGTAAAGAAAGAGGTATCTTTGAATAAGGTCAGAAATTACTCAGTGATAACATGTTTTCATGTTATTTGTGAAAGCATCACCATGGCTCAGTTGACAGGGGTGAGAGACTTCTGCAAAACACTGAGAAACAATCACATAGGCTATCTTGTTTTTTTTTAATACTGAAGAAAAGAGCTTCTTCCTCTTGTTTTTATCTTAATTTTTATCAAACTGAACTTGCACTATTTTACTTAAGTTTTATGTAATAATACTTTGTGAAAAGTGATTTGTTTTTAATGTATCAGCAAAATATTTCTAAAAGGTGGTCTTTTTAAATTACAAAAAAAAATAGAAGTGTATAATAATTTCTATAAAGAAATGAAAATCGACTGAGATAACTATACACTAAAAAAAGTTAAACCTGTGTAAAAAAGAACTAAAGTTATAACAAATGGGATATAAACAATTCACCAAAGTACATACATGCACAACAATTCAGTTTACAGTCTAGTCAACCTGTGGACTTTCTGCCCAATTCCTTTCCTAAAAACCTGTGGGCTATAACATTTTGCAGTATGTTCCCTCTTGAGTTCAATGTCCAAAGCTTGGCTGCAAGAAACTATTAGTTTTTGGTATACTCAGTGGAGAGAAAAACAAGTGCAGGTTGCACATACCTGTTCCCTGCAGCTCCTGAGATCACAACAAGAATGTATTCCATCCTCTGGAAGGCAGTAGAGAAGTCCTTTTGAGACCATCACTTAGCATACTCAGGTGGAAGAAATTGGAATAAATTAATGATTTATCAACTGACTTGTTTCCTTAAGGAATCCCTTACAAATGCATACACATATCTCCACAAAAACAGTGGTACAGAGGGGGCTGTAGAAAGAAAAAAAAAAGTTTAAGTCAGGAGAGAAGACATCATTACTATATATATACAGTAAGATGATGCACAGATATTTTGTCTTGTGCCAGAATTGCAATGGAATAGATTATTTTACCCATCTATCGTGCGTTTTTCTGAAGGATGTATCACCATGGACCTCATTCTCTTTTGTTTAAGTTATGTCATTATTTCCTATGTGGTTTCCTCCAACATTTACAAAAATGAGAATCAAATTATAAAATATTAGTATAGTTCTTATCTAACTGATTATACTTAACTTTGGGAGGGGCAAAGTTACTGAAAGGCAGTATTCTTCTTTCCTATCATCAGCCTTATTTTTGTGACCAGCAACTGACTGATTTCTTTTTGCTTTTACAAAAGTATTTGCACTTTTATTAAAATTTCTGACTTTCCAACGGCAATTAGGAATGTTTGGATAAAATTTACGTCAATGTCAGGCTATTAAAGGTGTTTGTGCTTGAGAGGATGCATCTGTGGGAAACCAGGGAATGGGGGGGGTAAGATTCTTGAAGTCTAAGGCCCAGTCTTAAACATATGCTGTATATTTACTGTAATAGGGAAAACACAGCGTTATTTACAAAACCTTACAGGAGGCCATGTTCGGTAGGCTTAATAAAAAGGTGTGCCCTTCAGACTGCTCTCAGTTTGTCCTATCATGTCTTTTTCCATCATCTGCCTTATAACATTTTCTAGGCTTTGCAAACTGATAGGAATTCATTCCTCAGTGGTCATACACAGAGGTTAATAAGCTCCCCACAGCAGCTGACTTAGCACTAGAAAAGAAATACTCTCCCTTACATCCAGTTCAGAAATGTTACCTTCATATCCCCTTCCCTGTTTTGGGAAATGGTACTGACATTAAGTCTTTCTCCACCTCAGCTCTTCTGGATATAGACTGGCAATGTAGTAAGTTTTACCTCTCGTTCTGTAGCTGAGAGGTTGTTCATTGTGCAAATTGTTGGTCAGCATGATGTGACACTGAGTCAGCCACAGCCATGAGGTAGGTGTACCAACATTATCCCTTATGTCAAACCAGAAAATAGGGCTTTGAGTGTTAAAAATAATCATTCATTAGGTCACTGGGTAGGACAAGGTAACTATTACAATAAAGAAGATTTTATGGGTGAAACGGTTTAAACCATTTGAAAACAAATCTCTCTCCTGCCCACTGTGTCTGTCCTTCCTTCTGACCTTGTTCTCCACCCAGCAGCTTTCACCGCGGATTGCAGCAGACTCCCTCTGACTGTCTCAGAAAGTTTAATTTCCGTCACCTCTGTGTCTGCGCTGCTTTCTCGCCAGCTCGCACGCCAGCTGCAGGCTCACTGACTGCTCCACCCTGCACTTGTCCAAGGTTTTCCAGCAAAAATTCTAAGCTCGCTCTCGGAGATAACACCATCTCCCTCTCCCTTCAGAGGGTGCAAAATCCAGGACAAAACAAAGCAGCAGCTTTTGACCTTGCCATCCAGCGCAGCCTTTCAACAAAACACACTGCGCACAGAAACTGTGAGCAAACAAATAACTCAGGCTGTTTAACATGTCACAGTGGCAGGGTGGTGAACGGTAAGAAAGGCTAAAAGAATTTAAGAGATTATTGGAGGACAAGCAACTAATCCTATGTGTATTTCTCCCACATTTCTTACCTTGTAAAATGTCATTCACTTGTGTAGCTAGGAAGCGGAGAACTTGCTTGTTTAAGAAGAACAGATCGGGGAGGTATGGAGGATTTTTATTACTCAGAAGGATTCCTTCGAAGGTGATAAAAGAATACAGTTATCTATACTGGCACAAACAGCAGGGTGTCTCTGCCTTGTAATATTAGAGCCAAAATATGACACTTTCTGTGCTTTAAATGCCTTTTTTTTTTTTTATATCCTCAGAAGATGTGTACAAATTCCACTATAAAATAAATAAGAGTTTTGCACCGAGTGATGAGAATGTTAGAGGTTAAAAATAACCTCTGCCTCCTGCCTCATCCATGCCCTGTCATCTCTATATATTTTCATACATATGCAAGTTTATGCTGGAAAATGTTCCTAGCAAGAGTTTGCTGTTAAAAATGCTATACATTATACCCGATAAAATGCTGAGATAAAATGGAATTATAAAAAGCTGTGAAATACACCTCAGAGTATACAATGCTGTGCTAGGAAATGTACCTCACAGGAAACTAAGAAACCTTTAACCTAAAGCATGGAACCAATCAATCTATGAGGAAAACTAATATGCATGATGCCTGGGTTTCATGTACTCAGTGAGCTTAATCATATGATGAGGCTTTTTATCATTTGAATGTGCTGCACCAGAAGGGGAAGGATAAAACAGTACACTGTCACCAATTTGGAATGAGGTCTGTTGCAGTCTGCCGGAAAGGAAGAGGACCATAAATGGGAGACAGGCTTATGTCTAAATAAGCAAGGCTTTCTACCAAAAAAAAACCTGGAAAATGAAGACAATTACTATAGATTTTAATTCTTTTCTTTTTCATGAGGATTTTTTCAATTATAATCCTCAAAAGATTTGGAGACAGTAATTAATGTAAATGTTGAAATGTCCTCAATTTACCTTCTTTTTATTTCCTTGCTCCTTGCAATTCATTACAATAATATGAGCAATATTGAAGGTTTTTTCCCTTTTCCATTCTTCCAGACCCTCAGTTCCTTAAACAGTCATGAAAGCACCAAAAGAAATATTAAGCCCTTTAATTTTTCTAGTCTGCCACTCTTCCAACACTCAATTTTTTAAAGTTAAAGAATTCTTTCACTATTCTGAAGCTTTCACAGGTGTAAAGATACGAATAAAAAAAAAATGAACCCTAACAGAACTATCACTCAGTACATTGAACCAAATGTCAAACATAGTGTAGGAAGAGAAAGGACAAGTAAGGAAATTAAAAAAAATGCACAACATTTTCCATATTAGCTGCTTTTAAAAATGCATGTATATATGTATTTGTTGCTCATGTCTTTTATTCTAATTTGATCTTTACAGAACTGAAAAAAACTGCAATACACCATTTATTTATGTTTTTGTCTTTGTGCAGATGTTTCTCTGCTTTTCAATAAATCTTACTCATAACATGTAAATATCTGTGGCAAAGACCATCCCCCTGGAGTGATACAGGATGCATTGCTAAGCAACATTTTCTTTGGTTTTGTCCTTTTGTTCTCTCCCAGAGTTCTTTCTGTCGTTTGGTTTCTTATGGTATGAGTGCAGAAGGAAGTTCCGCAAGGGCCTCTTTCTGCAAATAATACGCACACAGCTATGTAAAGACTACAGCTTTCAGCTAGCCCATGCAGAAGATCATGACATTTATTAACTAACTTTGAATCTGATGTTCAGAAGCAGAATCCCACCGGAATGTGGGAATACAAATCCAGAGTATTTTCATTCTAGATTACTGTTAGTCTCCGAGTGGATGGGTTTCCTTCAGGTTCAACTCCACATTAGAAAAACTCAGCCTCAGCTTGTCTGAGTGTCACCTAACTGTTGGTAGAACACATACACACCAGAGCTCCTTGGATCATTGAAAAGCAAGCATAAACCTAAAGGTCTAAATATGTATCTCCATATTTACGATGTTTGAAAACTATTAATAGGCATATATGCTTTGAAATTGCAAACCCAAACAGCAGAAACTCTTATGTTTATAGATTTGTGGTTGTGCAAAGTCTACCCAATACAGAATACTCTGCCAAAAGCTAAAAACACAAAATCAAATGTTTTGGTATTTTCCTTAAAGAAAAAAAGAAAACAAGGTTGTTTTTTTTTTTTTAAAAAAGGTACAAGCTGCTTCTGAAGCTGTCATTTAGGAATATGAAGGAAGCTTTTCAGCTCCTCAAATCATAACATTTCTTCCTGCCTTGCTCTTTTATTGAGACCTGCATTTTTGTTGATACCAGTGTTAGGTATGACACAGCAGCATTTTCAAATGGGTTTACAACTGACCAGTAGCAGTCAGAAATGGTAAGTTTCCAGATGTTTATGACAAAACGCATCTCTACAGACAAGGAAATCTTATATTGGTATGGTACTGGCAGCTCCAAGGCAACCTTGACATAAATTTTCAGCAAACATATTCCTGCCATTGTTAGCTGTGCTATCCTATCAATTCTGTGTGATTATCTAGTCCAATACCAGGAATCCACATTTAATAGATGGTTCCAGCAGCAATCCTCTGACACCATCAGGTAAAGCTTGTTCTCACTATCTTCTTTACCCTCATCTTTATTGCTGTCTGCAAGAAAGCTTCCCAGTTCCATGAATTGGTATGTAAGGGCAGGTATTTGCTTCATAAACTCCCACTGTTTCTCAACCGTTTGTCAGTGCAATGGAGGATTTTCAATACAGCATGTAATTAACTATTACTGAGCAAGTAAAAACAAGAGTGAGAAGCGTTTGGTGTTGAAATGTAGCAGAGAAAAATGTGATTTGCCAGGGTTATTCTTCCCTTCAGCTTTTAAATTGCACCATGTCTCTCCCAAAAATAAATTCATGAAAGACTATGGTATTTTTACCACTGATCTCTGCTTGTGTAAATGGAAATGCCTGGCTGGCCTCCAGAAAAATAAACTCTCTGTGAACAGAAACAAGCCCCCAACATTGCATATAACAAGGCAGCAGTGCAAATGATTACAGGACACTTAGGCATGACAATAATGCATTGACATCCCTAGCCATTTTAATATAAATATTCTTTTGTAATGATCTAACAAAACTAAATTTGGACAAAAGTTACATTTTAGGTAGTAGTTACATCAAGAATTTTACTTTGTGGTTTCAAACTTGGGGCAACTGTATTTGTGTGAACTTTTCCACTGAGCATAGAAACCATTTTTGCAAGCACTGAAACTGTTTGTTGGGGACAGTCTGAGACACTCTGGCAATGCCTTTAACACTGAACTCAATCGTCCTCTAAGGACACCAGAGGTCAAGGCATTAGGCCACTGACAACTTGACGACTGTACAACTTCAGTATGATACTCTCTGATATCAGCAAGTATTAAATGTAAATATTCATACTGGACTAGCAATTAAGCTTGAAAGTATGGTTGTATAGCCACCAAACAAAAATCTTGTTTTAATTATACCAAACTTACATAGATGCTGCTCTTTCTCTTTTTGCTTCTTAATTTATATCCTCTTAGTGTTGTCTTTGTTTCTGTTTCACTCTTGGCCTTCCTGACTACAGCCCTTTCTTGTCAGAATACTCCCACATATTTTGCTACCTAGTGCTTCCTAAACATCTATCATCTCTGCAGCTAAACTGCATAAAGCATTACTTTGCTACAAAAAAAAAAAAAAATAAAAAAAAAAAAATCTACTGCAAGGCATCACATTTTCCTATTTGATGCTCCTGTGGACCATTTCCAGTTCCCCAGCTATCTCAAGATAGGAAGCCCAGCTGTTTGCTTTTTTCACTTCTTTCATTAGAGTTCACGCTTTACTTCCAGATACCCTGCTAAAGCAACTATCTTCCTACACCAAAACCCTCTGGAGAGGTATAAACATTAGTGATCATGTTAGACGTACTAACGTGCAGAAACTTACCCTGTACTGCGTATGCTGCCTCTCGAGTTCTGCACAGGGAGCAGTCAGTCTCACAGTGCTCCTCCATCTGAAAATAAAAGAGAGTGGATGAAATAAGAAAGGTTTTGTGCAACTGCAGGAACATGTTTGTTTTCTCCTTATAAATGCCTTTACCAGGCAAACATCCAAATCCAGCGGAGTTCTGCCTGATGAAGCACCTGTCCCTGTGGGGCTGTGTTTGCTGTCTCTTCAGGAGGAAGCTCTGGATGCTGTGCACTCCCTCCATCTCCTCCACCTTTGTCCCTCGTAACTGGGCACGCTGTCTGCTCCGTGGTCTCTTCCTTACCTGAGAAAGCAAGGTCTTTTGACTGTGTGAATGGGTTTGAAATAGCATTTTTTATTATTTTAATTACTGTTAATGCTGTTACGTGATCACAAAGACTGTGGTCCTATCATCCTTGTCATCAAACTTTATGAGAGAGTCACTAGAATAGGAAAAACATCATCTGACAGGCATCCTCTTTCCTTTATCTTCATTCCTGCAAGTGTTTCAACTTTTCTTGTTGGGTAATAATGCACTAGATGCAGAAGCATTTTTAATCACCTCAGTTACCATTCTAATATTATCATTACTCCTACAATATGTACCCATATACATGTAAGCCTGTTGTGGAATGCAATTGTTGTCAACTTCCAAAATGTATGGTCACTTTAATTATAACAGAATTGTAAGAGGAAAATTGCTTTTTAGCCAGTATTATCCTTTCAGAGATTTTATCTGTAACTAGCTAACTTGACAGCTTTACTGAAACTTTGTTATAATTAAATTCCTGTATCATGCAACTGTCTTGTTTGATTTTATTTCATATTACCGTTTTTAATTAATTTAATTAACATTATAGCCTCATTAAGCAATGGTATGTTTTTAATTCAGCTCATTTGTAAAACAGATACTAAGTTACATCCTAATGGATCCATTCCACTCAAGTTCTATACAGATTGCACTCTTGCCTGACCCATGACTGAAATTAGACACAGCCTTAGATATTTAAATTCTTGCAAAATAATATGAAACTGAGACCAGCAAGAGTAGGATAAAACATTAAATTTATAAGTCCTTTGGCAAAGCAGGGAAAGCAGAGTTGCAGGATGTGAAGATGTTTGTCTAGACAGAAAATAATGCAACTTCAGTTCAGGCAAACAATAACACTTTTCCTAGCAGTTTGTTATTTACGTACAGGTTTTTTGTTTGGTTGTTTGGTTAGTTGTTGTTGGTTTGGTATTTTTTTAATAAAAAAGATCTGATAAAGACTTTAGCCCAGAAAATGGCAGAGCTAAATTATAAAAAAAAGGGAGAGGAAACCTGTAAAACTCATCACCTGTTGATGCAATGACGTTTTGTTAATTGTTTCCACTCACTGCATCTAATGTTGGAAATAGAAACCTCTTAGTAATGTCAAGTTGTCAGTATAAGATGACATTCAAAATGTGCCTCTCTTTTAAGTCCTTTCAAAGAGATCTTTTCCTACCATATGTCTCATACTATTGTTTGATGAATTCACAATTATTATTTGCTGGCTTTACTCAGATTTTAAAAATATATTTTATAAATAGTGCAATTTGAATTATATTATATTAAGCACAAATAACTAGAGCGAATTATTTAAATATTCACTCGTCAAAACCACATGATATTATAAATTATTCCTTTATTTTATATTATTATTTTACATAATATTTTGTCATAATAATTGAACTAAACCACAGATTCACAGTAAGAGTGGATGTTAGCTTAATTTCTTTAAATGCCTGTGATTAAATGAACATGTATTTTGTTGTGACAGTATATTAGGCTTTCTGGTGTCCCGAAAGCAGAGTGTATTCAATAATACCTTTTTTTTTGTAAAAAAAGATAATTACTATGGCAACTGTCTAGCTTCATGCTTTTACTTTGCTTATCAAAATCTTTGTAGAAAAGATGTTGGTTTCTAGCTGTCATGCAGTACTTAAAAATATCCTCTAGATGACACTGTTTACTGCATTTAGAAGATGTGCAGGCGTTTATAAGAAATAGCTGCAAAATGAACAAAATACATTTGACAAGTATTGTTTGAGGTTAAGCCTGCTCTCTTGACGTCAGTGGCCAAGATTCCTGCAGTTTCGGTGAAAACAAGAAGAGCTTCTGTATTTATCTATAAAACTAAACAAAAATCTTGTACCTTCCTTTCAACAGAAAGGATCGCTTTTAAAATACAATTAAAATAGCTTTCATTGCATCCTAAACTGTAAAATATACCATAGGAAGGCTTCCAAATTACTGAAAACCCTTACATACATGCACATACTTAATTATTCTGGATGGTTTTGTTTAAAAATGACACTGTATAAATATTAATCTTTTTTCCAACTATTCTTTGTTCCACAGTCTACATTCATTGTAGCACAGTAAATTTGAGTTCATTAGATCATTTACTGCTATTTAGATGTAAATGTCTTCAAGGAGGATTAATTACTCTCTGATTTTTTTTTAAAGTCAGGATAATGAAGACATTCTCTGACATTTCTCTGGTAACAAAGAAAAAAAGAAAAACCTTCACCCAAAACAAAAAAAGAAAATTCCCCTTGTACTTCCATATAAATAGATAAATAGATAAAATTTTGGAAAGTGTCTGGGTAGTTTTTATGGGATTTGAGCTAGTAAATTAAGTTAGGTTGAGCTTCAGGAATCCATTTAGTGGTTAAAATGTCCATGCTCAAGTTGTCTGTCTCCCACAGGGGCACCTTGGTTGCCTCTAGAACACATGAGAAGAGTGAAAAATTCCAAAGTTCTCTCCTTCAAAACTGAATGACAGGCCACTCTTTAAACCAGAGAAGAAGGAACTGTGACTACCATGGTGATTTATCCACAAGTACATGTGGAGCACGTAGCTGTACATGTTGCAGCAGTATTTTGAACAACTTTTCAACTTGCATCTCCCTACAGATTCTCTTAAAGAAAAAAAGAGCCCTGTTTAGGAAACTGAAAGTAACTGTTAGTAGGAATGCTTTCGAAGTACTTGTTATAGACCTCTTAGAAGTGGTAAATGAACCGCCCAGAACACCTGAATCACAGGCTGGAAATTCCTGACAGTTCTCTAAGGAATAAGGAGATCCAAGAGGTTTTTTTCCCTCTGTCCTGTGTGATTTGATTATGCATCACCCTTTCATTAGCAGAGCATCTTAACCTGCAACTTGTTGGTTATTCATGGAGGGTCACACTTACTGACACTATGCACGATTTTCTTCAGTGACTGTTTCATGCAAGGGACACACACAGTTCATGGAGTAGGAAACATAAGCCAAGACTCTCCCGCCACTCTTATCCACTATGCTTGGGAGTCAGCATAAACACACACACACAACCTGTCCTAGTCGGACTTTAGCTGTATTATCAAAGTGAACAACATCATCAAGGGACACAGTTAAGATGTTCCTTCGTCCTGAAATTAGGAGTTACAATTTTGAGTCTGTAAAGACAAAAACTAAGTAAGTGTGTTCTGTGCTAAAGGAATTTTAAAACCATTTAAACACAGATTTCATGGTCATGCTTAAAAATAAGGTAAAGCAAAACACGCTATGTTTTACACAAAGCTTGATTTTGTAGGCATGTACTGTTTTATCCAGTGAGAAGAAAATAATCTTATTTGTAGATCCTGATAGGGCTTGAGATATGCATTTCTCAGACAAGCCAAGACTAAGAGGCTTTTGAACAGACACAAAAGTACAAGGTCAGCTTCCAAGAAATTTTAACTATGTAAGCAAGCTGTGGAGAAACTTCCTCCAGGTTGATGACATTTAAGTTCAGATTTTCAGGACTGCATTACAAGGCAGATGCCTATATTCTGTCCATAACTTCCTCTAGACCAGTAGGATCTTTTTAGATCTGTTTTTTAAGGCTTTGGGTTTTTTAACCACGTATCTTCTCAGTGGTTTTGCAGTATTGTGCAAGATGTACTTCACATCAGAACAAGCAATATCAGTGCTAATAAGAACAGAATTTGTAACTATATACTTTAAATCAAAGCTGCTTTAGGCTATGTGGGAACACTGACACAATCATTTGTAATGATAACTCCATACAATTAAAGAAAGAATTATGAAAATGAGCCTCATGTCTGTATTTTGCGGGTAGGAACTGGGTTTTCAACATTACTTCCTCTTAATATTACTAAGACATGCAGGTCCTGATCTTGAAATTAATTCCAAGTGCCTTAAAGTCCATGTTCAGGCAGAGCACACTTCTGATTCAAGACCAATTTTTTTTCTCCTAATTTTTAGGAAAACTGAAACATATGAGCTTCTGAAGGAGAACTAGTTATGTTCAACTTCTGTAGTCTGATTGGAAGCTTATCCTTTTAATAAAAAAAATAAATTAAAAAAAAAAAGGAGAAATTACTATTTAGTCATAGATGTGTCACTGCCAAAGAACACTAAGCTTTGGCAAAAGCTTTGACTTTTACCTTATAGTGTTTCACATTAAATGCTTCCAGTGACAGATGGGGCTGGCTGAGGAATACCTGTGTACTTGTTCCACAGAGAAAGTATAGGGCACTGACCCATCAGAGACAAAATTGGGGTAACGAACACTTTTATCAACCGAATGGAGATTTTCACTCACGTTCAAAGACTTAGATTCATGAACAAATACTTAATGGAGAAGAAGGTTGGAGGCTCACAACTCCACTGATTCTCTCATAGTAGCATAGGTATGTGTACAGAAAAAGATTCCTGCTATACCATCTGTAAAAAATATATATCTCTAGGGCTAGCAGAGACAGTCTCTTCATTCACTTAAATGTATTCATGTTAATAAGAATTTCATAGTTTCCGGATTAAAAAAATCCTTATTTCTATCAGTAATGAAAAGCATATTACTGTGCTGAATACAACTTACTACTCTCACTGTATATCCTGAAGTCCTCTGGCACTCACACTATAAGAAAAAAATCCTCTTCAAGAAGACTCCCTGCATTTTTCAGTCAAGAATCAGCTGAACAGTGATGTAAACCAAGCAATAGCTGATGTTCACCTTTGAAATGACTGTTGTTTAGTATATAAAGTTTACTAAATTGCACAGGTGTTTTGGGGGATTGACAGAATTGCAGCAGTGGGAAAAAAAAAGGCTTTGTAATTACTACTCCTCACTGGTAGAATAATAGCATAGGCAGGGTGGATCTGGTTTTACAGTGACTGACATACTTTGTAATGCCTGAAACTAAAAGACCTCCCAATTACAGAAATGAGATAAACATAATTTTTGTATTACACCTTCATGTGTCTTCTAGCATC